AACCTATCCTTCTCCAGGGTGTTCAAGAGTGTTAATGGTATCAGAATTGAGAGTTGTGGAGACTTCATACTGTATAGGCCTAGGCCTGCCCCACCTGAATCTCTTTCAAGTGAAGTTTCCTTTCCTATTTCTTACACCTAGCATTTTCTATGCTGGTTACTTCTCAGAGTCTTATCTTGCCTGTGGCATAATTTTTCTGTCTCCATTGGAAATCATCACAGGTATTTACATGGGTTTGTGAATGAACATGGGAAAATTTAGAGCCAGATCAGTATATTGCATGCTGTGAATGTCCCGTATAATTCATTCCTGCCATGAGTTAGTTTCCCTGTATTTTGACACTCAGAGATTACTTTGGTTTAGAGAGGTTGAGTTGAAATATAGAGAAGCAGAGACGAGGCCTAGGCCTAGCACATTGTTGAAATGTCCCATATGGCTCGTGCTTATAATACCATGGCTTGGTTCCCCTGTCACTTGGCCTTTGGGGATTCCTTTTGGTGAGGTTGAGTTGAAGTGTGAGGAAATGTCGATAGGCAAGGCCTAGTATGTTTCTGGATGCCTTGAAAGGAAAAGGATTCAAGGGAAATAGTGTCCAGTATGGAAATTCATGGTACTCAACTAAAAACTCTGTGTGTCCATTTAATACTTTATTTAACAAAAATTTATCTCATTCACATCCTTAGGCATTTACTTTCCTCTTCCTTTAGCAAAAGGTTTCAATCATGAAGCATTTAATTAATAATTAATTCTGAGTCGTGATATTCCTCGGCCTCACTTGAACTTCTCGCAAACCTACAGGAAGCAATCTGCTCGAGTCTTTTCCAGTTAGGATCTCGTGTGGATTTGTGCATCTGGATGAGAGCAATCTCGTGAAATTTTCACGACCGTGCGACCTCATCCGCAAGTCCACTTTGATGACGTGTTCTTTTAATCGCCTCAAAAACTGAGATCTGTTGATTTCATCCTGTTCGTACTTGTGTGGGATTTCCTTGCTACACTCATTGATGATTGCACTTTTGTGCCATTTTGTGCTTCTTTTCCTGAGATCTTGCAGATTTCTTTTTTGCAAAGTCTCAGGGGCAGTTGTCATGAGAACAATCTGAGCAATTATGAGTCTCCCTACCCTTCTCTGGAGATTTTGTCATGCGAATCTCAGACATTTTTGGTAAGGATCTGCCATGAAAAGCTCAGGGTTCCCCAAACGAAGCGGTATGGACCCAAAGCCGTCACTTTTTCCGCGGTTTCCAGGAGTGACAGTAAGTCCCAATTGCATTCCATAAATAATTAATTAATTAATTTTTTAAATATCTTTTTCTAATAACTTGGGGGAAGCACTCAAATTTCTGCATGTATTTGTCGATAGATTCTGCAAGGAGACTCCTGCCAGCCTGATTCAACCAGCAGCTTGACTCCATGAGGTGAGGATAAATTTGTCGTCTACTAATTAACTAATCAGCTGTCGAAGTTGTAATTACCGTGGAGGGCCGCAAGGAAGGCCTGTCCCTTCGTTATGAAAAGCTCTTTAAAACAATGGCAAGCTTGGTCGATGCTAAAAGCATTGCAGCTACTTCGGCACAAATCAGCACATAGGGAAAAAGGCATACTATGATCAATGCAAATCCCCTTTTAATTCATCCTTGTAAGAAATTAAGTGCAATTTCCACTCAGAAAAATATGAAAAAAACTATACGGAAATTTCCAATTCCAGCTTGAGGCGCGTTTTTTCTTGGAAACCATGGAAAATGTTCAAAAGGAATGATAAGGGAATTTTTTGAGGAGGTTTTCCCCAAGTGTCAAAGTTCAACTTTTTTTTTAAATATAAATTCTAACAGTCCCGTATCACGAAGGTCTGAAGATCTTCGTAAACATCTTGGACCCTCGGCGATTCTTCCGGATTGCGATTCGAAACGGGAATGTATGCAGAGCGATTTGAGGCATGCATCATTTGTTTGCACCCATGCGACACCGGATGCGAAGGGCTTCACTCGGAACGGATGGCGATTCCGGCCTAGCAGACGACGCCCTCCACGCCGCCCTGTCCCCCTCTCCTACGCTCTCCTTTATTACACGCACCTGTCGGAGCGAACGGAAAGGTCATTGAGTCCGGCTCCGCACCTGCCCGCATCGTGGGAAGGCGCCAGTCTGGCTTTCATCCCCTTTAACAAGAGTTCGTCCCAAATCGGGAAACCTGAAGTCAGTCCTTACTAAGGGACTTCACTATTATCCATGTGATAGCCGGGGTTTGTTTGGTGGGCCTGTAATTATCGTTGGATGCCTGCACGGTTCAACTTTTCCAAACCCGGCCCGATTCGAAATTCGATCGCCTATCGGGCTCTTTGGCCCAGACCCGTCGGTCCTTTCGGGCCTATGCTAGAAGGCCCGTAGGGACCTCTAAACTTTTGTATTCTATGATTAAGGGTTTCCCCGCGCGCAACCGGAAACAGGATTGCCAACCGAGGTGCACACTCCTTCCGCGGGTCGGGCCAGTCATATCGAGCCGATCCGCATCCCGTGTAGACCTCTAGGTCATCTCCCCCCTCCAACACCTTGCTTTCGAAATTCGAACGACGTGTCTCAATTGAACGTTTCGGGACGCAAGTCGCTGGAAATTTGCATACAGGGTTCCATGATGACGGAAGACATTCCACATTCTCCATCTGATACCTGGGAGTTGCAATATCGTGCGGTGTCTCATTCGAATATAAAGTAGAGATGAGCGGACCGCGGGCAGGGTCCATCCACGCGAAAGTACTTTTTTTTCCTCCGCTTCAAGTCCGTGAGATGGAGATAAGCGGGTCGTCTAAGGGGGCCGGAAAGCCCGTGGTGCGACTCGGTGGAGAGGTCGTGCGGGCTTTGGCCCGTATTTGTTTTCCCCCCTCGAAAGCCCATGGGTGAAAAGGATAAAATTATATCTGAATGTCTCTCTTGAATCGTATTAGAGAGGGAATTTGTTGCACGGCTGTCGCCTTTGCGTCTTTTCGAGTCCCTTTCCCAGCCGTTTTCCTGGCTCCAGACTCTGTCCCCATATCTACATTCCCCCTTTCTTTCGTGAGATCCACACGGAATTCTCAACGATGCCTTGTAGGGTGAGGTTGAAAATGAACTGGACTTAATCACAACGATGTCTCATTCTATACGAACTCTGAAGAGACTGGGACCAGTGGGACCAGTGAGCTAGTCAAACTGGTGCGGGCTCAGGCCGATGGAATCGAAAAGGGTCAGGCGCGGGCCGAAAGAGGAGTAACGCCAAGTCAGTAGAGGTGGGCTCGGGCCGAAAGAGGAGTAACGCCAAATCAGTAGAGATGGGCTCGGGTCTGAAAATCTCGGCCCGCCTCATCTCTAATATGGTGAGACGGTACTCTGGAAATTGGTATTGTGACGGATGAGGATGGCATCGAGAGGCTCGACTGAATGTCCGGGGTTCGGTGGTGTAGTGGTAGCACACCTGACCGGAAATCAGGAGGCCCGGGTTCAATTCCCGGCCGTTCCTTGGCTTCTTTCGTCCTCTCATGCCTTCCATCGTCCGTCTCCCACTTTCCCCTCCGTAACAGTATGAACGGAATTTATTATTTTCTTATCAATAATTTTTGTTATGCTTTAATTGCAGCGGTGTGTCTCATTGGACTGGAATGGAACGGAAATGTATTATCTTCAATTAGGAGGACGTAGATATTTCATGGGTGACAGCGAATGATCACGACAACCGCTCGCACAAACTGAAGAAACAAATGATCTACTCGATGAAAATGCTAGGAAGTCATGTCACCTTTAGCGAAAAGACGGTGCAGCCAAATGCAATAAGCCGTATCCGCTTGTTTTCAGTCTTGCGCATCTCTGCTGAATCGGCGCTTTCATAGAATCCAATTTGGGATGTTATTAAAGACGTTTATCCATACGAAGTTGCAGTTCAAGAGTGCATCCCGTCCAGTCAAAAAAAAAAAAAGCACCAAAGGAGTAGCAGAGGGCAAAGGTCGCTAGGACGGGAAGACGCTCTGGCCGGACCTCCGCTTACGAGGAAGGAAACGAGGAGGTCCCAGCGGAGCCGTGCTACCATTCCCCATTCGCAGGAACGTCTCATCGGAGGCTCGAATGGAAATTGCTCGTTGATTGCAGGAAAACTCGCAAGAAGTGACATTCGGTAGTGAATTAATTAATTAATTCGGAGTTTACTCTCGATGAATGTGATGATGCAGCAGGCATGAACATGCGCTTGCTCGTTTTGGCTTCAAGCGTTACGCTATTAAGGAAGTAAGAGTGCTTTCGCACTCTCGTACTGACTTGCTGCTCTCGTTGAGCACCAGTTCTCATTCTGCTGCCCTTTTCTTCCAAGGTCAATCAGTAATCGCAGTAATCGGTCAGTAATCGCAGCTGCACTGCAGATTGGGACTAATTAGACTTCCCTAATGCGCCGAACCTTTCCACTTAACAAATCTGCGAATAAAACTCTGTGCCGATTTTACCAAATGAAAACCCTGGTACATCTGTCAATGCACTGCAGACGTCGGTATAACGCCAAAAGTCGTCAATGACCAGCACTGCCATAAAGAGCCAACAGAGAAGCATTGATTCACGAAACGCGTTTCGCTCACGACCACGGCCCAGAGCCCCGCAAGATCCAGTTTCCGGCCCATCAGCCACGAAACATCCACCACTCACCCCGCGAGCGGAAATGCCGGCAAATTTATTGAGCTGAGCTTACGATGATGGGTCGTGCAATGTCTTTCTCCCGTAGACAAGCGCCTTTCGACTTTAAACTAACCTGGCTTCAAAGTGGGATTAAGATTATCTCCGTCAAACCGATTCCCTTAGAGAACCATTGTGAGATCAGATTAGCTCAAGATTAACGGATCGGGCGCATGTCACCCTTTGTTTCAAAATGTTCTTTCTTAGAGCCGTCTCTATTTAAGGGCATTTGCAGTTGCCATCCGAATATGCTTATTCAGCTCATCGCGATCACGAGAAAGGAGCCGAGCCGACCTTGGGGAAAACCAGACACGCGCGTCCACGCGTTGTGCGTGTCTCGTTTGCGTCAGTCCCCCGGAAGGAAGACCGCCACAATCGTCTTTTCCTCTGATAGAGCCCAACGGAAGGAAGACCGACGAATGAGCCAGAAAAGGAATCGAGAACTGCCTGATTGCCACGAGTGTTCGCTTCTCCTGGAAAGTGCGTGAACGGAGTTTCCAGTGCGAATATCGTCCGCGTTGTATCCTCCTGTTCGTGTAGTCACCGTACGGCGGTAATTTAGCATCTTCCCCGTGTCTTTGCGTTTCCTAAGCCAAACGCCGTAGAAATTCGTCACCCTACCCCACCCAGAAAGAGCTGTTCCAAGCCAATCACTACGATCGAGGAGTCCTTTCCGTGAAAGGTCAGCACAAATCGGCTCCTTTCGAGACACTCGAATCAAACGTCAGAATTATAACTACTTAATAACACGTAATACAGGGTGTGGCATAAATCCTTCTGAGAGTGCTTCTAATTCGTAATGAACTCCATGGTTGTTCGAAGTGAAATGAATTAATGTATGACACCGTATTTATTTTATCATCCGTCTGTAGATATTATACGTCGTCGACTGGCGTCTTGCCAAAAACGTTGACGATTGAATTGAGTTTGATCTCTCAGCCTTTCTCAGGATCAATGTACCTCCGAGATGATTGCGAGATAATTGCGGGCGACCGGGCGACGTCTTGTGAAACGTCGCATGTCACTCTTCAAGTGCAGCCCGTCCAGGCCCACATGACCAATACACAAAGGAGTCCAAGTTTGACAAGTTATATAAGAAATGTCAACCCATTATGGGTCCATGCCGACTGGTCCTTTCTGGGACTGGACGAGCCGTACCTCATTGCTTTCGAAGGGAGTCCAAAGGATGAGCGGATTAGCGACGTAATACCACGCGCCAGGTCTTATCTCGAGTGGCTTTTTTTTTCTCCCCCGCGGTTTCCTGTACATTCCTGGAAACGATCCTCCTTTCATTGGCCCAACGTTGAAAAATTCTGGAATGTAAATTTTGGGAATGTATGTCTTCATGTTTTATTACGTTGATACATGTGATATATTTCATGTATTCAATGGTTATATATCACGTTATGAAAATATAGTGCATTTGTTTTTACAAATTAAAAAAGAAGCCGCAAGAGATATTTGGAAATATTATGCATATGGGAATTCTTCGTACTTTGCCGGTATGGACGTTTTTTACTGAGCATTATTTTTTTCTTGTGGGCTTGTTTACTGTGGGCGTTTTTTATGCCTGTATTATGGTAGCTCATTGATTTTGTGCTGCCGTTAGCCTGTCCAAAGGTCGGAAAGGGGCTCCAGGCTATCAGTGGCAGACCTAGGTGTTCCGGGCGTCAGGCATCTTATCAAGATTTCTGAAATCATTCATACGTGATGCCTGCCCCTTACCACCCCCCCCCCCCACACACACTTATCCCCAAGAGCGTCGCGCCGATGTCTGGTCATTTCCCTTTAACCCCTCCGGTTAAAGGGAAATGACCCTCCCCCCTCAGGGGAGAGGAGGGCGGATGGCATTCAACGACTCCTTTGAGGATTTAAAGTGTGGCTAGGTTGGACCGGATGGACTATATTAGCACTACTATCGAGGCTAAAAGAAAGAGTCTGCGTCATTTCGGAAAAAAATTTTAACATTTCTGAGAGACATGTGTCAATGTCAGAACCACCGTGTATTAAAATAAATTAAAAAAATGCGCTTTGGACCAATATTGGATAGAATCACCCTTGGCTTTCCCGACAGCTGTTAGTGGAAATTCTCTCAATGAAAAGTTCACCCATGTTGAGGCCATTCCAAGCTTCCTGGAGGCCCTCAGCGATTTGTGACTTGCGGGCTGTTGGTAGTTGGTTTGCTGTACAATATTGGGAAAAGAGTCACTTCGCGATTAAATTTGACACCATAAATAAATTCCATCGTCAGTAAGAGGAAAAGTCATTGCTAAAACTTACGCAGTTCTGATCCGTATTTTTCAACGTGCGCCAAAAAATTCGCATTTTGCAGGTGGTCGCAGGGGATGAGGGACGCCGGATGTCCAGCCCGGAATCCGATCTTTCGCGAATGACTGCCTAGTTGACACTCCGCAACCGTGCAGACGATGAAAGTCCGGAGCAAGGACCTCCTATTGATCTTCGCGCTCGTTCATCGCGCCGTGGCGCTGACGGGGCCGCACGTCTGCACCAGGCAAGAGATGTGAGCGGAATTTCCCCTTCCCCCCCCCTTAGTGGGGGGGGGGGGGTTTCTTTTGGTTTTCGTCGCTGGACGAGTTCAGACTGGTCGTTTTTCTTTCATTTTCAGGCGTTTGAAGCCAGTGAATGTGACGTATGCGGTGCCCTTCCAATTCCAAGCTGTTAGAATGCGGAAAATCGTGACGGTGTCCACATACAAGGTTGCTTACAAGACCGAGGTGAGTCTGAAAAAAAAATCCATTTTTGGTGGCATTTTCCTTTTTTTCCTATCCGTTTTCGCTCTCGCAGAAAAGGAGAGGGCTGGTACTCGTCGAGTCCTGTTGCAAAGGATACGTGCCGACACCGGACGAAAAATGCCAGCCCCATTGCAGCCAGCCATGCGGAAACGGCGTTTGCGTCCGTCCTGACGTTTGCCGATGCGATCCCGGCTGGATGGTGCGTTTTGATTTTTTTTAAAATATTTATATTTCTCCCCGCTGAACCGATTCGGAAACGGACCGGTTAAACCGTTCGATATTTGCTGGTAATGTTGCGCGATTCATTTTTGCAACGTGTCGTGATGAATTAGCACATGAATGCATGCAGATTTTCCTGTAGAATATTTTTTCCCTGAATATGGGAAGAAAAAAGAAACAAAAAGCCGGTAGGTCGAGCCAAGAAATAAAAAAAAAGGCAGCAAAGGATTAAATAAATAAATATTTGTTTCCATTGAGGAACGATACTAACATGGAATTTGTTGAACAGTGTGATGGAATATTAGCAAAATTTTGTTGCACCGCGACTAGGTATTGATTCGCGACATATGCCGTGCCATATGCGTCTCATTCGCCTGCAACCGGTGTTACAACTCGCTTCGGCGTCAGTCAGCATTTTTCCGCGACTCGCAAGGGGAGCAGCGAGCAACGCTCAATGCGGGATTGTCGACCGGTCGGTCGAAGCGAGATTGTCGACCGGTCGGTCGGTCGACAATCCTGCGAAGGACATGGGGCGCAAATGAGACTCGGGTCCGCAGTTGGACTAGTATTTCCGATAGTCCGTGCAGTCACGTTGCGATAAAATTGGTGCGTTTCTAAATCGGTTCAGCATATGAATAAATAATAAATTGACTTTTCACTAAGTATACTGGACTTCCGGCACGCAGGGACAAAATTGCAAAACTCGATGTCCAGAGGAGCGCTGGGGATCCGGGTGCTTGTATACCTGTTCGTGCTTCAACGGCGGAATTTGCTCTCCGGTGAATGGGACGTGCAGCTGCGACAGGGGGTGGATGGTAATTGCAGTAGGAGTGGCTGCATGGCTGTGAGGTGTGTATGGACTCGTTTTGATTCGTGGTCTCGTGAATAGGGAGGCTCGTGTGAGACGGCGTGTCCGAGGGATCGGTGGGGGCGTGGGTGCGTGAACCGCTGCGAGTGTCGGGGTGGTCGGACTTGCGATCCAAAGAGTGGGGGATGCACCTGCATGGAGGGGTGGACCGTGAGTCGTCTTTTGAGAGCCGGTGCCGGTTTGGGTTCGTGGGGGCTGGTGCTGTGATGAGTCGTCTTGGGTTGGTGTGTAGGGAAGGGATTGCGAGAAGCCTTGTCCGGGAGATCGGTGGGGGCCTGAATGCAGGAATGAGTGTGATTGTCGGAACGGCGGGATCTGCGATGTTATAAACGGGCGCTGCTCGTGTCCGCCTGGATACACGGGGCAACAGGTTTGCCATTCTTCTCTACTGTTCTGTTTCTGCTTTACCCATGAGAACATTCCTTTAATTGAGAAATGAGCTGTAATGAATGTGACTGATGGCTTGATTCCTTTTCGGATTTGAATGCTCGCATGCAAACTTAATCTATAAAGGGGAAAGCTCCCAAGTTTAGGGTTCTCCTGTAGTCGTACTTCCTAAGCCATAAGTACGGCCTCTTTCCAGTGCCAGTCGCGTTGCCCGCCCGATCGGTTCGGTGTGGATTGTCACGGAGAGTGCAAATGCGAGAACAATGGGACGTGCTCGTTCGTGGATGGCAGATGCTCGTGCGAGGATGGTTGGATCGGTCCAGTGTGCAGTGAGCGTTTGTGTCCCTATCACCTCTATGGGCCCGACTGCTCGCGGTTGTGCGATTGCGAATCTGCCAACACGGAGGCGTGTCATCCGTGGAGGGGATGCGCGTGCAAGTCGGGTTGGGAGGGTCCCACGTGTTCGGTGCCTTGTCGGGGTCGGACGTATGGGAAGGACTGTCGGGGGAAGTGCGAGTGTCGGAATGGGGCTTCGTGCCATCACGTGAGTGGTGCTTGCGTCTGTTCTCCCGGTGAGTTGGTGAAATTTTCAGATCTTTCGAGAGTTGTCGATGTGAGTCAAGGAATTGATTCCCCCCCCCCCCCCCGTCATTCTGACATCTCTGCAGGCTATAGAGGCCGATTGTGCGAGGAGCAATGCCCCAAGGGAACTTATGGAAAAGATTGCAATTCCAAATGTACCTGCGAAAATGATGACCTGTGCTCGCGCGTAGATGGAACGTGCAGCTGTCAAGCAGGTACGGGGGATTCCCAGTCCCAGTTATCAATTTCATTTGGCTCTGTTGCATTCACTTACGGGAAGAAATGAGGTTTAAACTACTCATGCGTCTCGTGAAATCGAGACATGATTTTTACATACAGGGGGGCCCTGGGTGATGGGCAACTCTACCTTGCATTTATCGGTCTTAGTTGGATTATCCTAGGTGCCTGAAGTTCAAGAAATGACGACGGCTCTTCGCTTTTGCTGTTTTAACTCTTTTTTTTCCCTGGTCCATCGGTCTACTGTATATTAACGCATCTGACTTTATTGCCCCCGGCGACTTCTCGATGCTCTCCAGGTGCAAATTGCCAGGGTCAATGCAAACAAGGCTCCGATAACTACTGCGATGCATACTGCAACTGCAGGGGAAACTCCGAGTGCGACCCACGCCTGAAGAAATGCATCTGCAAGGTCGGATGGCAGGGACCCAACTGCGACGAACCCTGTCCGCCTGGCTCCTACGGCCTCAACTGCGAACAGCGCTGTCCCAAATGCGAGCATGGTGAGTATGGCTGAGTGCCCGAGAGCAAAGGAAATTAATTTTTTTTTTCTAAATAATGGGAGTTATAGGGGAGAAAACATGCGTGAGACGATTCCATATTGTTCATAATCTTTGAAGGAAAGCGTGCCTCATGTTTTCCTCCTGTTCTGGATTGCTCAGGTCTAAAAGGAAGGATTTTCACAGGCGTCCGTGTCCTACGTGAGAACGTTTTCGGTTTTCAACAGAAGAGAATGTTCTACTCCGAAGTAAATATGAATAGAAGCAGTTAAAAAAAAAGGTATAATTAAGCAGCGAAGTGACAAAGGAAAGGATTCTGAAATAGTTCTGGTTATCGCTGTCAAATATCTGAAGAAAGCGTGCTTATTAATTCTACCTTTTTTTTTCGAGAAAATTTTGAATTTAGCACCTCCGCCAAGAATTTAGCACCTCCGATCATGCAACACGGAATTGTGGCAAGCCTGATAGCTGCAGTGAGAGAGAGAAAAAGAGCCTCGTTATAGGTGAATGGAACCAGGGCACGGGCAAAAGAATTCGCGATGTTGTGAATGTGAGAATCCCTTTTCGATTACTGAAGGAATTTAGACGCACACGTTTTTACACAAACTTGAAGGAATTACAGGAATGGATGTTAGCTTTGGGAATTTTGATGGACGGATTTCTCGTTATATAAAAAAAAATATTAATGGTTTTCTTGGAGTTGATGTTCCATCGGAATGCCCAATTGAATGCGAATTCCCATTTGGGGCGAGGCAATCACCCTGCTCCTTGGGAATATGGAGTGCATCGATGGTGCTGTCCTTATTAAATGACAGGAAGATGATCTTGTCTTGAGAATGCCAAAGTGAATTCTGAAGGGTGTAGAGTCGTAGGTAATACCTATTCAAAACATGGGTTGCAGTCATAAAACTACGAATGAGATGGGACCATCGATAGCATAACCCTGAAGTGAGAGGCAGAATCCCTCTGTTCCTCAACCTGGCATGAGCTTTATAAGCGTAAGCATAAGCTTTATTGATGCCAAAAGACTGAAAGGAAACCTCATCGGTAGAGGTTTGAAACGAACTGCGTAGTCCAGGGTTGTTATGAGTGGACGAGAGCCGTTATGACCCATTCGGCGCAACAACGTTGTGTCAACATTGGTGAAAGGTTGGTATGCTGAGACGTGCTTAAGACATCCTCATTATCTCAAAATAAAATAGGTTCTACCAATCGACGCGAGATGGCGCTTAAGTGCTTATTTAGCGATTCTCACCTTGGTGCCATTGGAATGAATATTTAAAAAAAATTATTAATATAATGTAATATATATATTTGTTTTATAAAGACCTGTGGGTGTGTGTATGGCTCCTCTCGTAGAACGAGATAATCCTGGAGACGATGCTAAGCATGTAGTTCCTCTGCTGGACGGAAAGAGTTGCGTCGCTCAGGTACCTAGCTCGAATTCTGATCCAGTAAAGGAAATATAGCATCAGCAGGACTCCTTCGTAGGATGTTAGTACTTTAATAAGAGTCTTATCATCAATCTAATATATAGGCTGGCCAATTTAAGTATTTACTGTTTTGTTTGGCTATAGATCCTATACATTTTTACCAATTTCAGTAAAGTTTAACACAAAGTAGTGCTTACCGTAGAATTTTATTTGGCGAATTTTCATTGAGTTCTGCCTTGAGATTTTCAAGAAATTCAATTTTTATTGTTACTCGAAACTTTTGCATATGCGCGCTGACTTTTCATCTAATTCTAAATTCTCATCTAATATACGTTTTGCCTGAACGCAGGCCGGTGCAACGCGACGGATGGAAAATGCGAGTGTCTTCCTGGTTGGATGGGTCCGAACTGTCAGGAAGGTAGGGCTGCATTGTTTTCTCTAATTTTTCTGGAGATTTTGCTTCGCTGAAGAGCTCATCGATCCTTGGATCAGGTTGTCCCAAGGGATATTTTGGGGTTCAGTGCGTGGAGCAGTGTCAGTGCAGCAACGAGACTCAAACGTGTCTTCCCAGCACCGGCTGCACCTGCAAGCCAGGACGCAAAGGTCCGTCCAATCCCCTAAAAAAAAAAAAAATTCCCTTTCCCGCCACGAGTCACGTGACCTAGCCCCTCACAGGTGACGATTGCGAGGTCGAGGCCCCCTCGCCGCAGCCTCGAAGGGATTCCAGGTCTGAGACCGGCGGCTCGGGCCTCGGAGCGTTGATAGCGGGGATCACCGTGACTTTGCTGGCCTTCCTCGTGATTCCTGGCCTCATGTTCTACGTCCGAAAAGCGATTCGTCGGCGCAAGGAGGAGTCGGCCGGAAACGTGAAATTCCTCAACTCTCCCCTTCCCGGTAAAAGAAAAATTCGAGCTCACTTTATCGCATGCTGCTTGCGTCGTTTCCGTCGGCCGGTTGCACTGTCTCAGTGAAGTCAGGCTTAAGAGGCTTGGTAAACAGGCTCCCGAAGTCAGACTTTGCGCGAAAGTCTGACTTAACAGAGGCAGTGCAACTGGCCCCGTGTTGTGACGTTGAGAATGCCGAAGGACGTCAGACAAGGAATTAATCAGGTGGTAATCAGAAGTAACGATAGAAATCACGTCTGTTAGTGAATTTCAACCAAGGCACATCGTCCGAGAACATACGAATGTGTGGCTGGCACTGTGAATGTGAACATTGTTGCGACAATTGGTACCTGTTCTCAGCTGAAGCTGCTGACGAACTTGATCTGGCTCATCAAACTATAATTTTTTTCCACAGCACCCCAACAACAGTAAGAGTTATACGGATCGGAAGAATCCACGTTCCAATCGGCGATAGGAAATTTTTTTTTTTCGAGAAGGAGAGAGATGTTCACGAGGAGATGCAGCATCTCTCGATGCAGATCACGGACAATGTAACCCGAGATGCGAAGGAACCCAGGGCCCTGGTGGGTGATTTGTGATTTTTTTTTTGTGATTTGTGACACTGTCTTTCTTTGCGATGTTGTGTCTGTTGTGATTGTATTTTGTTTCATAGCGTTCACAAAAATTTTGCGCGATTCAATTTTCAAGCTGGAATTTAATGGAAGCGCTCACTGTTGACTTTCCCTAAGTAAGCCTTTGGCTTCCGTCATTCCATTTGAACGAATTACGCATTGAAGATGAGCAATACATGGCAACATGATCTTGACCAAACTCTACACTTGTTGCATTGCACCTCCCAGCTGCGCGTGTTTATGTCGACAGCATAACCTCCGACCTCCTCCGCACGTTCTGTGGAGGCAAGCCGAAGTCTGGCTTCCACTGCAGGCACCCGTCCATTCATATCTTGCCTGCCCTGGAAGTCTTCCTTTCCTTTAGGTGCCGGATTGCGATGCGGTTGGGGATGCCATCGGGGATGCTGCTGTGATGAGATGTGTACTGGCTGTTATGACTGGGCAAATGTGTTTTAGATATACATTTTTAATCGATCGAATTTCGTTTGACTGCGGCATTTTACTAGTTGAATGTGTCCATTTCAGTGGACGCAGGTTGGTCCACTGACCAGCGTTCCGCGTGAATGCCATTCACGCGTTGAGGCTTCGAATCTCGACAGTTTCTCGTCTGACACAATGCTCGAATACAGTAATTCCACATCAACCCCTGCCTAACGTTATCAAATATAAGTTTGGGGCAATAGGCGCTTCACGAGCGTGTGCGACAGACGGGTTTTAGGATAGCGAGAATCGCGAGGAGCTGCCTCGGCTATCTCAATTCATGCCTAAGCGAAACCCAATTCGTTCCCTCTTCACTACCAGGCCGAACCCGTCGACCTGTTCCAGGTTCCAAGCCCCTTTCCCTGCGCCCCAAGGCAATTGAAGGGAGGCACTCGGCCTTCCTTCAATGTTCCTTCCATGGTGAGACTTTAGTCTTAACGTGCACTACGAAGTGCCCGCATGGATTGCCTTTCCTTCATTCACGTGAAATTCTCTTACCCGATGCTGCTTCTTGGTCTGGCCTGGATGGAGGGGCAAGCTTCATTAATGTCTTTTGAGGTGAGCACTCCTTCGTATTCATGAGAACGGTTGTGTGTATGCAGAACAGGGATTTGTTCGAAGACGGGTCACAATCCTCGCCAATTCGCCATTAGTTTTTTCCCGTCTGTAAGTTAAAATAAATATTTTATGGGTGACTAGAGAGACCTATAGAGAAAATCGTTTTCCCGGAATGAAAACAATCTTATGGGTGACTAGAGAGACCTATAGAGAAAATCGTTTTCCCGGAATGAAAACAATCTACGTGCGACTAATTCGAGAAATGTCTCTGTAACACTTATTGAATATTTACGAGACCCGCATGTTCATGTGGAAACTGGGATCATTCATGCCCCATTCCTGCCTCTGTACTGACCAATATAATTACCCACTTTTCACAGGGCTTAATACTTCTTCCTAATTTAAGTGCCTACCCCTACCCTCATTTTCTACCCAGTGGCGTAGCGAGGGGGGGGGCTGAAGCCCCTCCCCCCCCCAACTCTGGTCGAAATGCACCCGCCCCACCCCGTCGAGGAGAAGTTAGCTCCCCCAACGCTCCGCTTAGCCCCCCATTAGCCCCCCATTGACGAAAACTTGGCTACGCCACTGTTTCTACCCCTTCATGCATTTTGGTTGTACCACAGCGTGCCGGCCTGTTCTCCGAACACCACCCCCTCCCCCCCCCCCCCCCCCCCCCCCCCCCCCCTCCGGCCTGTTCTCCGAACACCACCCCTCCCCCCCCCCCCCTCATTCGCCTCCACTCACTGAGCTAAGAAAAAGAACTGGAAATGGCGTACAATAAAATGGATTTGCTGCAATTAGAATCAGCCTTAGTTGGGGTCCATAGTGGCTCTTCTCCATTCACTACAATGGGCTTTTCATAATTTTCCATCCCAGTGTCTTGCTGTCGTGAACACGATGCCTGGCAGTCATGGTACCGGAGGCCAAGTAATTCTGGGGGAGTATCATAGGGCTGATAACGTCATGTCGGAACTCTCTCATGTGGACGAGTCTCCAATTTCTAAGTTCCTAGCCTGTCTTCGCTGAGATTGCTGGGCATACGAAGGCGTTACACCGCCCTCGCATCATCACAGTCAACACATTTGACAGCAAGTCAAAGGCATAAAGTCAAACGAACTTCGAATGAACGTTCAAAAGTAAAGGAGACGAAAGGTGACCACGAGGTGCAAGGTGTTGGCGGGTATCTGCAGAGGTCCTGGTCCCAATCAATATGGCTGCAAAATGCAGCCGTTTTCCTTATACTGCTCATTTTGGCGCGCCATCTCCAGTTCTTAGCTCAGTGCCTCCACTCCTCGTGGGCCCCTCGGCTGTCCATCCATTTGCACAAATTCGGAGATGAAATTTAACTTGGGTGGATATGCGAAGAAGTGCCTTTCGCCGATTTGATGGTATCTAGACGACCTTGATTGAAGCTTTCTTCCTTTATTCGGAGCAAGTTTGCTGCTTCACACATCAGTCATACGAGATTTTGTGAGAAATATGGGCTGCGTTGCGTTAGTTCTATGCGGAGCATCCTTCAAGTCGTGATGAATATGCTGATTGGTGACGAGAAAACGTTAAACGGTACTGGAACCCTATTTAGTACTTAGTTCCTACAGATTGTGTCCCGTGCGCTGAGGATCTACAAGCCCATCATGGGTAAGGCCGTGAAATTAGAATCGTGTCGAGATTTTCCTTGGGTTTTCCATAAAGAGGTGGAAAAAATAAAGGTCAGTTCTCGCCACCAACCTAGACCGAGTCGGAGTTCACGGAGAGATTGTACTTCCACTTACCGTGTGGTTTACTTCTCGAGGTATTACTTTGATGGGTGTCAGCGTCCCTTAAACTTTTAATTATAGATAGCTGCTAATCTACAGTGTTTTTCACTTCGGTTTTCACTCATGCACGAGAACCGTCTCCCGCGCGTCAGAGTGAAAAATTGTCTAACCTCGAGTGAAAAATTGTCCAACCTCGAGTGAAAAATTGTCTAACCTCGAGTGAAAAATTGTCCAACCTCGAGTGAAAATCCCTGTGGTATCCCTGTAACAGGGATGCGTACCTCCCATCAGCCATAACTGTCCCCGCTCTCTACCCATCCTCCACTCATTTTAACAACCGGCCATAAGGAAGTTCGATGGCGGGTCGCACAACGATGGGACAAAAACGCCTGGAGTCCTTATCCTCCGCGACGTATCGATTCCTCGCCCACCTTTTCTGCCTCGACTAATCTTGTTGATACTCGCATAGACTCCCATTTCAGCCGTGACGATGTAGGAAGCACATTTTGTAACAAGGCCTAAATCGTCTTAAGCGAAGGCACGCATGCGTGTAGTGAGGTAATAAAATGCCCGCGCGAGCAGAGAAATAGATTCGTCCGGCCGGGCATTTAGTTTGTGTTACCCAGTCTTCGTATCACCGTTAATTCACGGAGTTTCGAGTATAGCACCGTTCTTCAGTTTTGACCTCATCTCAATCTTGCAGGTATCGTATTCCCCGTATTGCTTAAGAAGACGACGAATCAGACTGGGACTCTCCCAACATCGCTTGTCACATTAAATTCATATTATTAATAAAGAGGAATGCACGCAATCGTCGCAACCTGTAACACGCCCATGATCTGTTTGCATCCATATTCAATAGAGCAGCGTCAAAGCCGCCAACGACGACGAGGCGCATCACGTCTCTATGAAAACCCCTCGCCCGCCTCCACTATGGAGGACTGGACTCTTTGCATCGTGCATGTCCTTTCACTTCCGAGGCATAGCTTTGGATGGCCCTGGGCGAAAGGATGTTCTCATTGCTTTCTGCAGCCCGGTTTTAATTTATTCCCGAAAATCATCGTACTGATGCTGATACGTTTCTTGTTACGTCTTAGACATCTCCATTCTATCGCCTGGTAATTTCTTTTAAAATATTATATATAAATAGGTATTAATTTCTGAAAATACCTCATCCAGCGCCAATGCTACAGATACTGTGGTCTTTGTATTTCTTATTTCTTTCTATTACATACCGTTTGGGTTTCATTTTGTGTTATTCTTCCATCTTTTCACCTATTTTCTCTTCATTTTGTCTCGTTTTTTTTCGCACTTCTTTCCGTTGCAATCATTCAGAAAATCACGGTTCATGGAGAAAATGCTTCTCTTCAGATTAATTCCTTGTTGATTGGAACAGTTCACGACTAAGCAATAAGTGCAAAAAATTGCAAATGTTCGTGTAGAGATTTAGCTTCAAACTGCTGGAGATCTTTGCTTTCAAGCGAGAGAGAGATCGTCGCCGAACCTGGAGTCTTGTAGTTTTAACATTTCCTCCCGATTATTTATCATTTAAGGATATTCTTAAATTAAGAATAATATAGGGAGCATCATTTTTGAGAAATGATTAATAATCGTGTACAACTACAGTCTCAAAGAAAGTAATTAGCAATCCTTATAGTCTTGAAGAAGTGACGGAATAATATTAGCACCATCATTGTCGAAAGGAAAGGCTCTGATGACATCACGGATCGCCGTTTGCTTACGTCCTCCCGCCTAATGACGCCATGCATCTCCGATTGTCGCTTACCTTCCGCTCCGTGACGCCATGCTTTGCCGATAGCCGCTTACCTTCTGTTTGAAGAGGATCGGGAGTCGTTGGGAGACACGCATCTAATACCTGTGCTCTGACGTGTGTGACTGCACGTATGCATTGGGTTTATCTTATCGTAAGAAGTACTTGAGCCACTCGTGGAAAAATGCATTCTTTGCACGTCCTGGTTGACCCAGTTGATTCGAACCCGGATCTGCTTGGTCACGCCGCCGGAAGTAGCAGCGAGCCGATGCAGCAGTGCAGGTTTGTATTGCAGCTGATAAATCTCGACGCGTTGGGAATCGAGCTGTCCGAAAACTGATGCCTGAATGCTCCTGTGGAAGTCGAGGCATGATCGCGGAGAGTTGGGTCGGGGTTCCCAAGGAAGGAGAGGGAGATACGTGCTAGCTCTTATGCCCTCGTGTTACGCTAGTTCAAGACATTCTCAAGGGGTGTCAACTTTTCTAGTGACGAAGGAACGGTGCCAGGCCGAGATGGTATAGAGAGGATTCTTGGTCTGACCGGAGTAAAAGTGGGTGATGGGGAAGTGGCAGAAGCTGCTCAATGATATGGGTTTGGAAAGTTCGGGACGTTTTCAGTATTTTCTTGCTGAAGGAGATCTGAACGCAGGACCCAGGAGGCAGATTGAAATGCGGGGAGGGGGAAGGGGGATAGAGCAGCAGAGGCTAGGTGTCATTCTTGGGAAACAAAATTGTATTGCAAAGAAACAAAATTGCAGCAGGGAATACAGGGTGGAGTATAATTATACCTCACGGTGAACAAAATCACTGACTCATCGCGGTTATATGAATGACAGACGTTGTTGTTG